CGGCCACCTCTGGGGCGGGCGGCTGGTTACTCGGGGACCCCTCGCCCGTCGCTGAGACGCGGCCACCTCTGGGGCGGGGCGGCCGGTTACACAGGGATGGACTCACTTAATCAGTTCTTTCCAGCCGGCCACATACTCTTGCAGCAGGATTTCTCCCTCCGGCGTCACGCAGCCCCTGAAGGCCGCCAGGAGACGGCTGATCTGGAAGCCTTGGCCCGGGCAGCGGGGGGCCCGGGGCGGAGGGAGGGTCCCATGCCTGGGAAGGGGCAGGCGGGAGCTGAGAAGGGGCGGCTGCAGAGGGGATACAGCAGATAGGTTCTCTGTGGGGCGGCGGGGGGGATCAGGATCAGGAAGTGGGACAGGTGGAAGGGAGGGCTGGGGAGGTTTTGGGGTGGGGATGGGGGCAGGAGTTAGGGATGGGAGGGGGGCCAGATTTGGGGCAGGGTTTGGGGGGGAGCACAAGGGGGTTCTCACCTTCCCGTACCGTTCAGGGGGGGCCGTCTCCCCTCTGCCCCCGAGCCATCCACAGGGCCGCCCGCCCCGAACGCAGGCCGAGAGCTGCACCTCTGCTGTTCCGGGCGGGGGGGGGGGGGGGAAGGACAGAGCTCAGACACTTGGACAGGTGGACAGTCGTCCCCCCCCACATTCCCAATGGTCTCCCCGGTTTGCATGGGGGGGGTGCACACGCTAACGACATGCATGATGCACCCGGGGAGGTACTTGCACCGTCCCTGCCGGCCTCCGGCTTTGCACACGCTAACAACATACAAGCGTCCGGCCAGTAGTCTAGGCACGGGCAGGCTACACGCAGGCGACATGCTAAGAACACGCCTGGTACATGCGACAGCTCACGCAGGCCGGAGCAAAGCCCCCCCCCCCACGGACCGACACAATCTGCCCCCCACCCAGGCATTCATACAGAGCCCGGCATGCAGCGGGGGCGGGGGACCGGGGGGAGCTGGGGGGCCCGGTGTGGGGGGTGGCGGGGGGGGAGCAGGTCTGGGGGGCCGTCCCGCTCACTCCCAGAGTCAGAGGCTGGCGTGGGTGCCAGGCGGGGGTCGCTGGGGTGGGGTGAGGGAGCTGGAGGCAAGTGGTGGGGAGTGCCATGGGGCCCAGAGGTCAGGGGGGTGAGGGAGGGGGCAGGGGGGTGTATGGGGCATGTGGGGGGGGGCTGGGGCTGTGCGTATCGGCCGGGGGGGTCATTGGCAGGGCTGGCAGCTGGTGGGGGGAAGGGGTGGGGGACGCGGGGGGGTGTCACTCACGGAGCCAGAGGCCGGCGAGGAAGAGGAGGCTGAGGAAGGCCACCGCGGGGAGCAGGACACGCTTAGGGCCCATCCCCGCAAACCCCGGCCCCACGGCGCCCGGCCCAGCCCCACGGCCCTGACCCCTGCCCCCGCCCGGCCCAGCCACTCACCGCAGATAAGGGCCTGTTATCTGGGGCGGGGCTCCCATCCCCCCCATTCCCTCCCCCCCAGGGGAAATGCCCCATGTCCTGTTCCCTGGCAGAAGCTGCGCTGGGGGCGGGTGGCTGCCCCCCCCCCCGTCACCCCATGGTTCAAACTCAGGGTAGCTGGAGGTCAGATGGGGGGCAGGGAGATGGTCAGGTTAAAAATTAACAGCGGAAGGGACTTTGCCCCACAGAGTGGAATGGGGGGGAACCTGAGGGCAGAAGAAGGCTGGAGTTTGGGGGCTCCCAGCCCCCCCTGCTCTAACCCACCAGCCCCCCTCCCCTCCCCGAGCCAGGGAGAGAACCCAGGAGTTCTGGCTCCCAGCCCCCCCTGCTCTAACCCACCAGCCCCCCTCCCCGAGCCGGGGAGAGAACCCAGGAGTTCTGGCTCCCAGCCCCCCTGCTCTAACCCACCAGCCCCCTTCCCCTCCCCGAGCCGGGGAGAGAACCCAGGAGTCCTGGCTCCCAGCCCCCCCTGCTCTAACCACCAGCCCCCACTCCCCTCCCAGAGCCGGGGAGAGAACCCAGGAGTTCTGGCTCCCAGCTCTAACCCCCCGCCCCATTCCCCTCCCAGAGCCAGGGAGAGAACCCAGGAGTCCCTGGTTGCACAGACTCAGCGGCGGTGGGGCAGCAGGGGGGCAGTGGGGGGCAGCAGGGGGGCAGTGTGTGCCAGTGGGGGGCAGCAGGGGCAGCGGGGGGACAGTGGGGGGGTGAGGTTCCCCAGTGCACAGAGTCAGTCTGACAGGAGTTGTTTAAGGCTTTATTGTCCAATAGCCAAGCTCCGTGCACGCGGGGGTGTGTGTGTGTGTGTGTGTGTCAGAGATCGGGGGGGGGCAGGATTAGCAGGGGCTGAGGGGGTCACCACTGCAGCCGGCACGGGACAGCCGGGGTGGGGGCTGGAGGTCCAGGGCGGGGACTGTGGGGGGCCAGTTTGGGGGCATTCCCGGTCCCCAGGAGGGGGACACTGGCGGGGGGACCAGCGGGACGCGGCGAAAGGGGGCCGGGGAGTCTCATTCGAAGCGACGCTCCTCGCCAGCTCTCCTCCGGGCTCCCGGAGGGGGTGGGGGTGGCCCCGGACGCCTGAGTTCCTGCAGCCCCCGCAGCCCCACGAGGAGGGAGACACCCAGGCCGTAGAGGCAGCTGGCGGCCAGTGACCCCAGGTAGCAGCGCCAGGCCGTCAGCACGATCCGGCCCAGGCTCGGGGCCCCTGCGGGGGAGAGGGGACAGTTAGGGGGGGCGTGGCTGTGACCCCAAAGGGGGCCCAGGGGTGGGGTTGGGGGTCCCGTACCGGTGCTCTGGAGGGCAGTGCTCCCCGCGGTCCCGTTGCTGAGAGGGTCAGGCGGCGGGACGGGGTCTCCGGCGGATACCGAGCAACCTGTGTGTGGGGGGAGAGACAAATCCGGGGGTGAGCTACCATGGGGGAGGAGAGGGAGAGGTTGGAGGTTTGGGGGGGGGTCTCACCTCGGCGCCCGGCTCCCTTCACTTCGGCGCTGCTCTGCTGGGCCTGGGTCTCGTGTTCCACCCGGCAGGTCACGCGGGCGCCGTCCAGCCAGGCCCGGGCCGGGAGGCTGAGCAGGCTGGCGGCCCCAGCCCCATCCCGGCCCTCCGCCGGCGGGGACACCTCCCCGGGCCCCGGCTCCCGCCCGTCCACCTGCCAGCGCACCCGGACCGGCTCCGGGGAGAACCCCCAGGCCAGGCACAGGAAGGCCGGGCCGGCCGCCGGAGCTGGACCCAGCAGGGCCACCTGCGGCAGGCGCTTCTCCCGGGGATCACCTGGAACCGGAGAGGGGAGAGGGTCAGGTCAGGGGGCGGCATCGTGGGGGAGAGGGGGCTCGGTTCTAGGTGGGTCCTGGATCTAGATCACATCGAGGTGGGCACCGGATCAGTCCAGTCTCTGTTCTAGGCATTTAGGGACTGGTTTTCTGGGGATTCTAGATTGGGTTCTGCGGTGGTCCCGGTGTCAGCCTTCGGCTGGGTCGATGGGTCTCCCGGGCCGGCTCGGTGTCCTTTCTAGACGGGATCCAGGTGGGTTCTGGACCAGTCCTCGACTGGGTCAGAGAAAGGTTCTGGATTTGGTTCTCTGCATGTTCCGGACGCGGTGCCGATTGGCTTCGCTCGGCTTCCCGCACGTTTCTGGGGGTCTGACCCAGAATGCTTTGCCTCACAATCGAGATCGCCGCCCTGTGGGTTCTAGGTCTGCCCCCACGGGTCCCTCTGGAACCATTTGGTGGATCTGACCCAGAATGGCTCAGCGTGTTCTCTAGATCGATTCGGGATGGGGTTCTAGATCAGCCCCGGGTCTTTTCCTAGGCACACATCCAACTAACCCACCCAACTAATGGGCCAGCTCCAGAACATTTTCGTGACTCTAATCTAGAAAGGTTCTGGGCACATCCTAAATTGATTCACGACAGGTTCTAGATCGAGCCGCTGTGGGTTCTAGATCGGTTTAAAGTATTTCCCCGGCACAGTCCCCACGAATCACGTGCCAGCTCCAGAACATTTCCACGGCTCTGATCTGGAAGGGTTATGGGCACGTTCTAGATCGATTTGGGCTGGGTTCTAGATCAGTTCGCCGCCTCTCTCTTTTGGTCGCAGCCCCAGCCGGCTCTGGGCCAGCTCTGGCACCAGCCTGGTGTGAGCCGCTCCAGAACCTGCTCCAGAACACCCTGCTGGGTTCTAGTCATGCTCTGGGCCGGTTCTGGATCCCCCCGTCCCTGGCGGCTCACCTCCCAGGACGAGGCGGGTGCCCTCTCCGAAGAGGTACTGGTTGGCGTACCAGACGGCGCAGAAGTAGGTGCCGGCGTCAGTGGGTTTCACGTTGCCGATGGTGAGGCTGAAGGCGTTGGTGTCACGCTCCAGGCTGGCGATGAAGCGCTCCGAGACGCCGACCCCGTACGTGGGCCTGTTGTCCCCGGCCCGGTGGCTCAGCAGGAAGACGGGGCCCTGCCCGGGGGGCTGGTGGTACCAGGACAGGACGTGGGTGGTGATGTCGCTCCCCGACATCAGGCAGCGGAGCCGTGGGATCTTCTCGTCCACCACGTGGGATGGGGACGGCTGGGTCAGCTGGGGCGGCCCCGCCAGGGCCCCTGCGGGGAGCGGAGAGGAGTGAGGGGCTGGGCTGGGCCCCTGGGAGCGGGGAGCTCACACCCACACAGACCTCGACACCGGTGCACACAGCCACACACGAGTGGGGGAGTGGGGGTTGGGAGCCTGGACTCCTGGGTTCTCTCCCTGGCTCGGGGTGGGGGGTGGGGGGCTGGTGGGTTAGAGCGGGGGGGCTGGGAGACAGGACTCCTGGGTTCTCTCCCAGCCCCCGGTAGGACTGCGGGAAATGCCATGACACCAGTTCACGTGGCCGGGGATCCGGCCGCTGGGTGTTTATTTCGGGGCTGTTGGCAGCGGCTCTGCCCCAGCGCAGTCCTGGCGGGGGTCCGAGGAGCCGTTCCATGGGGTGCGTGGTCGGGCTGCCGAGCGAGTTCACTGCGCAGCCACCTAATCCCCCCCTGCCGCTTCGCGCCCCCCCCGTGAACCTACATCCGCTGAGCCAGCGCCCTCGCAAACCCCACTAGAGTCCAGCCAACCGCGCGGGGGGGCATGGGGGGCAAAGACCCGGCAGCCCTGGCGCCTCCACAGATCACAGGCAGAGGTGGGGAGATATCGACTGTGTTACCCAGCATCCGTCCCTGTGTCCCCTCTAGCCATCCGTCCATCCATCCATCCAGCCAGCCCTATATCCCCCCATCCATCCATCCCTATGTACCCCTGTCCGTCCATCCATCCATCCAGCCCTATGTCCCCCCATCCATCCGTCCCTGTGTCCCCTCTAGCCATCCGTCCGTCCGTCCATCCATCCATCCATCCATCCATCCATCCATCCATCCATCCATCCATCCAGCCCTATATCCCCCCATCTATCCGTCCCTATGTACCCCTGTCTGTCCATCCATCCATCCAGCCCTATGTCCCCCCATCCATCCATCCGTCCATCCATCCCTATGTACCCCCGTCCATCTGTTCATCCATCCAGCCCTATGTCCCCCCATCCATCCATCCATCCATCCATCCATCCATCCATCCATCCATCCCTATATCCCTCCATCCATCCATCCATTCATCCATCCATCCATCCATCCCTATATCCCTCCATCCATCTGTGACGAACTGGGACTGTTCTTATTGTGGTCTGTGAATGCTGACAGGGGAGTGTGGCTAGGAGAGTCTGCAATGGGGGGATGGGAGACTGACCTACGGAGAATACCTGAGCATGTAACATGAGAACCCAGGAGGGGGCTGGGGCCAGGTGACACCTTTGCCCGGGAAACTGAACAAAGGCTGTGGGAGGGGTCGCTGAAGGCAGAGTCTGGAAAGCTGGTTGGTGAGGTGGCTGGAAGGCAGGGAGGGCTCTGACCCCAGGAGGTGGGCTGGGGTGCCCAAGGACCCCAAGATGGACCTAACTG